TCTCGGTCGATGTCCGGTTCTCCCAATAGAATTGTATAATGTGTATAACCTACAAACGTAATATTCACACAAACTTGACATATGACTCTTTTTTTCTCTGGTAATTAAAAAAAAAAAAAAAAAGAATGAAGGTAGAATTAGAGAATCTTAAAATTTCTCTTCAATGATCCCATGCGGCGATCCTCATCTGAACCTTTTCAAAATCCGAAACCCGACAAGGTATCGTAATCCGACCCGGTTGATCAAACCCGTAAACCCGCTCCGCCTGCTCCAACAACTCTCCGAACAGAGGATGGTTAAAGTAAATCACCGGAACCACCACGCGCCGTGTATCATCGCCGGACTCGCCGACATGAACCACTAAATGCCCTTTTGGAACTGACGGCGTCTTCGGTTCGTTACCAAGTTGAACTTGTTTCTTTCCTCCGCACAGTCTATTGGCTCCACGACGGATACACCGCCGTGCTAAAGAGTAGATTTTTGTAACCGGGTTGAGAATTCCGGTCAGGCATTGGCGTTTCCCGGTTTGGATTCTTCTACTTCGGATTATCCATTTGAAGATCTTGACGAACCTGTGTCCAATCTTGAAACCTCGAAGCTTCTTCATAGTTGTTAAGGTTCCGAGAAAACAGAGACCCATATAACAAAATGAAACCTTTTGAAGAAACTATGAAACGGGTATATCTGAAATTGCGTTTTGAGAAATGGGTTTAAACTGGAAAATTTAGAAACTTTGATTTTGCTAAATGTCTCTCTCTCTCTCTCTGTGTTTTGTGTTACAGTTCTAGATGAAGAAGAAGACTGATTTGATTCTGAGAATAGAGCAAAAGCAACCTTTTTTTATAGCCTCTGAGGTGTGACCGTTGAATGTGTGTGTTCGTGCGTGTATACATGTGCATGATGTATTGTTTTCCAAATTTAACATGTCATTAATACAAAAATATTTTTGTTTTTTTTTTAAGTAAAATTATAAAATTTTATTGATTATCTAGCATTAGGTTTTAACTTCAGAAAAAAAGGTTTTTACTTCTTCGTATGATCACGAGATATATGTGTTTCGATTCTTTGATTGATGTTTTATGCCACGAGGCTACGTTGTGTCAAGACCAAACTCTTAAGTCAAGAATATTTGTCAATCGTTGAAAACAAAAACAACATGCTATTCATGATTTTATCATAATTTTGAGAACAAAAATTTGACATTACGATGTTGGAAAAAAAAAAAAAAAAAACATAAGGGAGATGTTCTGAACCGGGTTTTTTCTATAAACCGGTGCTGGTTAGTACTCAACCTAGCTTATTAAATTAAGCTTAAGTTTTTGGTGACCAGACCTTTTTTGTGATGTATTTCATTGGTGAATAGTCGTCATACCTTGTTAGCGTTTTCAAGGTCAAACTCAATTTAATGAGCATAACGTTTTAACAAAGTCAATCTCAACTATGTACATTCGTACGGTAATATGCAATTTAAGATCGTTGAGACGTTGACTAACAAGTTTCGTTGTAGAATTTTTGTTTTGTTTTGGTCACAAGTTCGTTGTAATTTAAATGCAAACTTGAGAGATCGACGAAAACTTTGTTTTTCCGATCGAAAGGACTCGAAATGTTATATATATGTGCGTGTTCATTATTCCTTAACACGACAAAATAAAAACAGTAGCTAGTCAAACTTTTCTGATCATTATGCAAGTGAGCAAAAATTATGCTTTTTGTTGTAGTTGCATCTAAAAGATCCGACTGTTGTGTATTGTTTATTTGTTATTAATAAATACTCATTTAATCATTTTTATGTTCAATATGTCATTTATTGTACATGCACATATGGGTGTGTCTATCAGTCTATGTATATGGACTAATTAAGTCTTATTCCAAATCTAATAATATGGGTTTTGATAAGAGATATGTCGATCTATAATATATAGAAAATACAAGATAACATAAACGGCCATGTTTAAAGATATAGCCTAGATATGGAGACCAAATGAAAACCTTCCACATATATTTAATTATTTCAGGTCAAAAATATATATTATGAAAATTTAATTTTTTTGGGAAGATAATCGGATAATGAAGAAGACAAAAGCCGAGCATGTGTGTTGGAGAGACATGGAGTGGGGATTTGGTCGGCAGTCGGCACGGCGCCTGCGATCTGCGTAACATGTTTCGGTTCACAGAAAGTGCTTTCTCCTTTAATCTCTATTCTTTTCCTATTCTCTTCTTATATGTATATATGAATAAGACATGTTTTTATTACCTATCTGAGATTTTTTTGGCCGGAATTTCACTCGTTACAGACTTTTTAGTGATTTGATATTGTTCAGAAAATTTGAATAAAAATTTTAAATTATAATTTATAAATTTAGCAGAAATTCTTAAACATATTTACCACTTTTATTAGAAGAACCAATGTATTACAAAATTATTTAGGAGAAAAATGTATTTGTTTGGCCAAAGAGAAAAAAATGGAAATAAAGAATTTGGGAGGCTTATCAAAGGGAAGGATTGAAAAGTAAGAAATTTATGTACTTTTGTGTACCTAATTTTAGAGCATTCGGTACAATACATCCGTAATGGATCTATTCTTTCCAATTATACTTTCGTAAAATATTTATGACAATGTCATATAGGCTATAGCTAACGTGCACAGGCTGGTTTATATTTGCTGTTTTTATTGGATAAATCATAGTTGAGTTCTCGCATACTTATAGTTGAAAAACCTCTTAATTAGATTATGAACTAATGCATGCGATTAATTTTGAATAGATTTTTCTAAACTCAATGATTAGTGTAAGAAATTTGCGTGTGTATTGGTTTTGATATCTTTCTTACGTAACTTACTTGTAGTCTTAAATTCTTAATCCAGGAAATTGATACATTATGGACCATATATGAATACTGAGATAACAAAAAAAAAACCACCCTTTCATGCAAAAAAAATAATAAAAAACCACCCAAAATTGCAAAGGATTTGCATAAATAATCACAATTAGCATTCTATCCGCCAGCTATATCTTGAGATATAACCAAATAATCCAGGAGGAATTAATATATAGATAACTAGTTCCAAAAAGCTTCTCATGATGTTTAATACTATATAATCATATATGTCTTCAATATAATAACACAAGATGCAACTTCTAATGATAATTTGGATCGAGTTCTTAACTAGGACATGACTTAATTATATGTAAAATCAAATATATATAGCGTCAGCTAATTAGTCCTCTTACTAACTTATAGTACTAATTAGACCACATGAACCCTCCCGAGCCGACCGAGAAAGGAATCAAATAACGACAAATTTTAATATGTAATTCTGTATAGAGGGGATATTGTAAGAAGAAAAAAATAACAGCAGTACTATACAAAATTTGAGATTATTTAATATCGTCTTCGAAATCCAATATTAGATACTGCATTTTTCTTAACTTCAGATGTGACAGTATCAAAGAAACGCTTGCTGAAGTGCAGCATCTAGAAGAGAAGTCACTATTTTATGTCCGAACATATTCATTTCCCAATCCATTATAGTAATTGCAATTGTGTTGACCGTGTGGTTTGGTAACGAGATTGATCGGAGTGTTCGTTTCTATGTCTAGGGTTTAAAGATAAGTTGGCTTGAGCCAAGGTCAAACGGCTCGAAAAATAATCGGCATGTGGCAATCAACAACACTGTAACAATTGAACAATATCCACAAAACAAGTATACGAACAGCGAAAGACTAAGGTAGGTAAAACGTCAGATATGTTTGGGGACAAGAGGACAATCTGATCAATTATTAAAAAAAAAATGAGATGCGATTTTTAAAATTTTTATTAACTTTGTTGTTAATCCACCAATCAAGGATCTCAATGTTTTAATTAATTTGCTGCTAAATCTGTAACCATGTTCTTATCATTTTGACCTTTTGTGAAGATAACTTTATAACAAATAGAATCCCACACCAAACTACTTTATAATTCTTAATTATTTGCCAAAAAAAACTACTTTATAATTCTTCATCAATTATACTACTCTTATAGTAAGATTCGGTTATGTCATTTAGTTTAGTGATCTTTCAAGTTATGTACATATGGTCGAAGTATATCTACTCACTTGATTTCAGGAAATGAACGAATGATAATATCTTTTTTTGTTAACAAATTTATATGATAATATTTCTTTATCAACTAAAAGACAACGCGAATAATGATTATTAAAAAAGTTTTGTCATGGCATACATACAGTTTGTAAGTTCTAGCATATTAATTTCTCAATATGCACCACTATCTTTTCATTAATTAGGGTATTATAAGATCAGATAAGTGTGCTTTTGTGTTGGAATTTTTAGTCCCTCTTATTTTTTTAAAAAAAATGAGAAATTTGAAGTAAACTAAATTAGTGCAATTGCATGGAAGAGATATATGAATTCAAGTTTTTGTTTTACTAGGTATTAACCCCCGCTACGCGGAGGTTTATATTTATCGATTGTTTTAATAAATTTTTGGGGTTAGTAATCATTTAAGTAGCTTAATAGGATCAAACCGGAACCGATCGGATGACCGAACGCCCTTGACTACTCTCGATTGTATACCATGTTTTTGTATTTTTTTTAACATACCTCTTGATTGATCATTCTATTCAAATTTAGTGAGACGAATACGGATTTTTTTATTTATTGATCACAGTAATAAATATTTACTTTTCGTGCTTCAATTTGTTGTCATTCTTTGAATTTTATAAAAAAATTCTTTTAAATAGCAAACCTAATCAAGTCCAACCAAACTAAGCCAAACCAAATTGAACCAAACTGAACTGAATTTAATGTGTTTAATGTGTTTTTAAAATGGAAATAGCCGAATCATATTAACTCGAAATCAAACCAAAATACCGACCCCAAATTGTGATTAGGATGAGATATTGGTAAATTTAATGAGACTAATAATGATAATATTTTATATATTATAATATAACATTTTATATTTTTCTTTTTTTTTTAGTTGACATTTTTCTTGTTTCCATATATATTACTTTTAATCTTTTTTTATAAGTATCTTAATATTGTAATGATATTACATCATTATATATTTTAATAACAAAATTTTACATACTTTCTTGTTTCCATATGTTTTTTTTAGGTTTATACTTTTCTTGTTACTTATATATCATATGGTTTACTAAAACAATAGCATTTATTCTTTCTTCTTAAGAAATGTATATAGAAAATGGGGAGACTCACAAAAATGCCCCTTTTTCAATACCCCTTTTCAAAAATGCCCCCTTTGGATGTCCATTTTTAAAAATACCCCTTTTATGTACAAAATGACTAAATTACCCTTCTTTTAATAAAAGATATCATAAATATATAAGGAAATATAACAAAATTAGGTCCACAAAATACAAAATATTTTTTGGCGGGAAAAGTGATCCCCCAATTTTTCCCGCCAAAACACTTGTAAAAATTTGTAAAACCTTTAAAATACCTTGTAAAATTTTCCCGTAAAATTTTTCCCGCCAAAAAATTTTCCCGCCAAAAAATTTTTTTTGCGGGAAAAGTGATTCCGCAATTTTTTTGGCGTTAATTTTTGGCGGGAAAATTTTTCCCGCCAAAAATTTACAAGGTATTTTAAAGGTTTTTTACAAGGTATTTATAAGGTTTTACAATGTATTTTAAAAGGTTTTACAACGTATTTACAAGGTATTTATAAGATATTATAAGATTTTACAAGCTATTTTATAAGATTTTTACAAGTTATAAGTCTTTACAAGTTTTTTATA